GAAAAACACAACGCAAAGTAGAACCACACATTTAATATGTAGTTTCCACAAGACAGAGCAAACCACGCCTGTTACATTTTGGTGCCATGACCCCGGATGCAGTTTATTTGTGATTATCATGGACATTTCTAGTTCTGTATTATTCATATACTTGTTGTGAAACAATGCAGATTTGAAGTTTAGCAGTTATATTTTGGTCTCATATAGCTGTTGTATTGATGGATACTTTGCTTGAAGATAATTTGTTTTGGATTTTCTCAATTTATTGGTAAATATTCTTCAGGACATCGGCATATTTCAATATGGATTTGGACTATGAGATGTTTGGTTTGTCCCCATTTATTTTTCCAAATGGAGTTTTTCGTGCGTCTCCTACAGGTGATGTGAATTATGATATGTCAACTCCGTACGTTCCACCACATAGTGTCGCCTCCCGGTTACTTCGGGTAGATGTAGGTCAGGAGAATGTTAGTCGTTCTCATGTCGATTTCACCAGTGCTGGAACTGAGAGTGTTCCATTAGCTGGTGCGGGTCGGCATGACCTTAGGTTAGGCCCGGAGTATGTGGGTCGTTCAAACATCAATTCTCCTAGTGTTAGATCTGAAAGTGTTCCATTAGCTGGTGCTGTTCGGCATGACCTTAGGTTAGACCAGGAGAATGTGGGTCGTTCACACATCAATTCCCCTAGTGTTAGATCTGAAAGTGTTTCACTAGCTGGTGTGAGTCGACATGACCTTAGGTCAGGTCAAGGTCAGAGTCAGGATCGTTCTGTTAGGTTTGAACCTTCATTACCAAATACTACACGTTTGGAGTTTCCGGATTATCTCTCTGGTAGACACAATATTTCCTATCCAGCGAGGGGCGGCAGGAAATTTTCTGGTTTAGACATTCCTCCAAGGTCATCAATACCTCGGGATGTAGGTCAAAGTCATAGGTCTGTTATGTCGTTTCGTAGAGAGGTTCAGCCTGATACGTTTGATGGTAGATCTACAAATTGGCAAGACTACATAGTTAATTTTGAACATGTTGCAGCATGGAATGGTTGGAATGATTTGGAGAAGGCTCAGCAGCTTAGTATGAACTTACGTGGTACAGCTCAGACTTTGCTTAGTAACCTCACTTATGGTCAGCTTAGCAGTTATACTGCATTGAGGAATGTTTTGTCTCAGAGGTTTAGTCCAAGGGAATAGAGTATAGCTCATCGTGTGAGTTCAGGAATAGACGTCAGAAGAAGGAAGAGTCTGCTGCAGATTATGGTTATCGGCTCAGAAGTTTGGCTTTGTTGGCATACCCTGACATACCTTACAGCTCTCTCGAGATGCAGATCATTGATCAGTATGTTACTGGTTTGAATGACTTTGAGATGAGAAAGAGGGTTACATTTAGTCATCCCCAGACTCTAGAACAGGCTATTTCTTTTGCAATAGAGTACGAAGCTGTCGAAGGGAGTAGGTGTCGTAAACCCAGTGAAGGTAGTAGCAAGGTTTGTGCTGCTGTTACTGAGGTTGTAGGCTCGGAGAAGGTTGACAGTTCGTTGATTCTTGAATCAATCTCTCAGTTGATTGATAGGAAGTTGCAACAGTTTAAGCAGTCTTTCACTAGGCAAAAGAAAGGTAATGATAGAAGGATTGAATGTTACTTCTGCAAGGGATAGGGACATATGGTTAGGGAGTGTCCAAAGCTAGCAGAGTTGCAGGAACTTTCCTTGTCAAAACCTCATGCTAATGAGTCGGAAAACTAGATCGGGCTGAGACTGTGGCCGAGTCGCCAGCCCAAAGTTGTCAGGTAGAGCATCCTGTAGGGCCAGAGCTAGGTAATTCTAGTTTGGATAGTGAAGATGAATCGGGTACTCATTTGGAGGGAGGAACTTCCAGTTGTGCCAAAGTTTCATTGTTGTCTATTGAAGAATTTTCCAGGTTAGGTCTTGACACCGAGAAACTGGCTCAGGTGGATGTCGACCTAGTTACTGTCGATGGTAGACAGTTGGGGGTACAAAGGTCAGTCTATGGTCGAAATATATTTAAGGTTGATGGCTTGTGTTTTGGACACAATTTCGTCATAGCAGATCTTGATGGTTTATCTGGAATTTTTTGTATGAATTTCTTTGAGACCTATGGGTGTGATGTCCTCGTAACAAAATGTCTCAAGACAAGAAAGAGTAGGGTGAAGTTGTATCAAAGGACAACCAAAAGCTGTGCTAGAATAAGGATTGTTGATAAGGTTCGAATACCTGCACAATCAGATCAGATAGTTTTTTGTGAGACTGAGGGTCTAGTACCCAAGTGTCTGAGTGTGATGATCATGTTGAGGTTGAGGCTCAGTCATCCGAGAATCAGACAGGCTTACCTGTAGGGACCTTACAGGTTGATAGTAATTCTCAGGAGAATGTTCTAAATTGGCTTCCTCTATGGACATGGGGTGATCTGTTGCCGTTTCTCCTCATGGGTTATAGGGCTAGTGTTCATGACAGCACGGGCTGTAGTCCTAACTTGCTTATAACAGGTAGGGAAGTCAGGATGCCTTTAGATCTTAAGGTGGGTGACCCACCGGGAGTTCTTCAGGTTGACTGTCAAGTATGTCGAGTGGTTGCAGAGGTCAGTACAAAAGTGATTGAGTTTGCCAATAAAAATCTGGGAGTTTCCACTCGTCTACAAAATAAACATTATGACATTAATGTGAAGAGTAAGAATTTTGTAGAAGGTCAGTGGGTTTGGCGTTGGTATCCTCCAAAAGCAGGTCAGAAGCTGGAATTGGGTTGGACTGGTCCCTATCTTGTTTGTGGGAAGTTGTCATCTCTTACCTACAAAATACAAAAAGATAGCAGTACACCATGTATAAGTGTACATGTGGATCACTTAAAGCTGTATGAGGGAAATGATTCACCTAGGAATTGGCTCTTGGAGCAGACTGTTGAGGACACAAGGGAGATAACTATGGAGGAGGATGATTCGTTGTCTCCTATCCAGGCAACTGGGTTTGATTCTTCAGGTAGTGATAGTGGGGAGCAAGTGCTTCATACCCGCTGTGGGAGGAGGGTCAAACCTCGGGATATGTACTCGCCTTCCTAAGGATAAACCCAGACCCTGGGAAGAATCTTTTGTCTTGTTTTTAATTATTTTGATTTGGGATGTATTTCCTGCATCAGAAAATGGAGATCACAGTATCAAAGGAAGAACTGAAGGCGTTTGAAGAAAGCTTAATGGAGCCATTCCTGCAGGGAGGCATGCCTTGCCCTGTCGCCGCCTGTGGGACATCAGTATTACAGTGCTGGAATGGTCTTATGGACCATTGGCAGAGGCGTCACCTGGCGACAAGGAGATATTACCAGTGCTCCCGATGTGGACGCAAAGACTGATGCAAAGGCCACGCAAAGCGTCATCTGCGGCAGCATCCCCCAGGGATGGACCTGAAGGGCAGGGAGGCTCCCAATCCGGAATACATCAACCCTGGAGATGCCCTCCCACCAGCACATCCAGAGTCCCGTGATGTAACCCGGGAGCAAGAACAGGATAGTCGTCGAAACTTGCCTTCAAGAGCAGCCAGCCGATTGATTTTATGTACATCTTTTTGGTTGTTATCCTTATTTTAAAAGTAATCTTATTACTTTTTGTTCACGGGGGGAAGAATCTAACGGGGGATAAGTATAATAGGTGCTATAGATATTAGAAAGGGGTGGGCTAGCATTAGTAACTTAGTTGGGGGTATAAATTATAAATTCGGGTATATTAAATGGATTTTTCTTACCGGTGTATGCGGAGACGGCTGTGGCTGGTTTGTTTGGTTTCGCTTGCCGATTCGGCGCAGCGATTGGCTGCAGGCACTGGAAGGTTCCATTCCAAGGATGGGGGTGTGCTCCTTGCTTAATGGGACAGGCCCGCTATTGCGTATATAAGGAGCACACGACAGGTGTTTTATTGTCTGAGTTGGAGACACCCAAGGAAAGGTGAGCCCTTGTTTCAAGACGAAACAGCTTCCCAGTTTGCTTTGTGATAAAGTAGAATTTGCTCCATGACGGACCAGTCCTTGTTTCGAGACGAAACAGTTGACCCCCCTCTCACGGCGAAGCACTTAGAAAATATGAGGGAAGATATAGGTAGAGGTGGTTGGGGGGAATAAAGGTATTTAGTTTTAGGGATATAGTTATATATATACACAGGGTAATCGTTAGGAAGCGGGAAGGATGGGTGGTTTTTACAAACCAACTACCGCTGTTAAGAGACAGTTGTAGTATTCTAGATTTATATTAGGTCTGGATTAGGTGGGGATCGTGGTTGTTAATATAATTTGTATCATTTGTTCCGTTTGGAGTTTGTGTTTTGGTGAATTCTGTCTTATGTCCTAAATCGCAACGCTGCATCTCGTAACCGGGAAACAGCGTGGAGGAGAATTCTGCTCACAGATTTACAGGTTTATACCTGGAGCGTACCCTCTTGTGGTAAACATGCCAGTTGGAAGGGAAAAACACAACGCAAAGTAGAACCACACATTTAACATGTAGTTTCCACAAGACAGAGCAAACCATGCCTGTTACAGTTATATGTGTCCAAAACCAAGCACATAAACATGTCTTAAAACCAGATTATCTTTACTCTCTCTCTATGCATATATAACTTTATGCAAAGTAACATAACTTAGAAGATGATATTTCCTTGCCCTTTTTTGTTCCTTGAAAACTATTTTTTAGATTGTTTTCACATTGTGGGAACTTTTTCAGGAATAACAGCAATTTGAACTTAGAGCCAATTGGAATTTTTGTTTAACCCATAATATGAACCCATTTAAAGCTTTATTATGATGTTTCTGATTTATCAAGAATTATCACAATTCATATCTTGAGAAAAAAATTGTTGTTCAGTAGTAAAGAAGTCACGGTCAGTGGGTATCAGTTTACCCTACTTACAATTTTTTGCTTGTCACTGTAGACTTCATTTCTACTCTCATAATATTAATTGTGGGTGGAGATATAAAAAGACTTAATACTTGTGTGTTTCTTTGTTCAGGCTTGGAGAACAAGTCCTGCCAGATCCAGTTGCACAGTGGCATTAGATGATGGTTCTGCACAGACAGCTGATCAAGCGACCCTCAGACAATTCAAAGTGACAGAAAGGTAGTAAATATGGCCAAAATTCGAAATTTGTAAACTGAAACAGTGTGTCACATGTGTGTTGGCTCATGCAGGATTTTGTGTCCCAGGTATTTAAATAAATTATCCTGACACTGACTGAGCATGTTAAGCAGGGTGCAGAATTATACCACGTCCCTCTTTGTGGGCAAGACTTTCAGCTTGAAGTAGGGCTGGGATGGGTCCAAATGGCAATATATTCTTCAGCTCGGAGGCTATGATTTCAAGTTTATTCAATATCTTAACCATGTATTATATTCAAAACAGGTGACTGTAAATAATGTCTAAATCTTCAAAGACAATACAACTGTTTAGTCATGAAAGAATAACATAATTCATTGTTTCATCTACCCAGTATTAGTCACATGATCATAATGGGTCCGGGTATTGAGACGTGTCCAGGTCCAACTCATCACCCACCTGTCCCGGGTATCTGTGTTACCCATCCCAGCCCTAGCTATGGTTGACACATCATGCCATTTATTTGAAAACATAGATATAAACTGTGCTAAAATTCATTTTTTAACATATTACAAGTAATAAATTTGTATGTGGTATTTGTTTAATTTAAAACAGGACCATCCCCGTGGTGTAGTAGTAGTAGTACAGTGGGGGTTCTGTCGCACATGCGGCTTAGAGGCTTATTGTGGGAATTAACCCATTCAACACCGTAGGCCGGAAAACCGGCCAAGACGTCACCAGTCCCCAGACACCGTAAGCCGGAATACCGGCAAGGCAGTAGTCGCATCAAAATGATATATAATTTTAGGAACCTAACTAACATAGGATTCATTTATCAAATCTATCACTTTTCATAATGCCTGAAAACACTTATTACATTTCAAATGGCCATATATAATCGACAGAATTAGAATTATAAACTATCTTTCGCAATGTTATTGAAAAAAAACGATTCTTGGACACATGCTTCGGCAACGGGTCAACATCAGAGTTGTCAAAGAGCAAAGTAACAATGTTTCGAGATAATAATTACACAATAAATAAACGGAAGAATGAAATCAACAACAGTACTCATACAAGTTGTCAAATGTACGTTACAACTTACTATTTCCATCTTTATTGTCGGATTGTGTAATGTAATTCAAGTGACATCTCGGCTTTCGTCGCTTCAAACTTTACTCTCGGACACGATGTTTAGTGCTAAAATATATGCATTAAACTTTCTTGTCACAGGTCATAACCTAGAACGATACGTCCACTAAGTTCCATAGGTGGTGATTTTTTGTGTAACATGTTCAGAATAGCATGATTTTACCCAAAACTTTCGTCTGACAGTATCCATTGCTGTTTTTTGATTGGCTGCCTTAGGTCACATGTCTGATTTTGACCAATCACGATCCTTAAAGCAGACTGAGGCAAATAAGCGTCATTAGAAACCAATCTTTATCCAATAAAATCGCTTCTTACAACTGTGAAAATACTCTTGGCAAGGCAACAGTGATATTGTTGATGTTCAGAGCTTTCGGACGATACCCGCCATCAAACGAATAGCCTCACATGTTATTCATACGAAGCTTCGAAAACGGAGGTATTTCACACTGTTGTATCACGTTACCGAGCAGAAAGCCACAGATATCGGGAAATAGGCGGCCATAAATATTAATTCAGAAATCTTTTTATAATAATTTTCCGATCACGTAAAAATGAAAAATATAAAAGAAAAAGGTAAGGGGATATTATGACATGTTACAAATGGAAAAAAAATCGCCTCATTTTTTGCTCCCTTCGTGGTTTATCTGGACATATAAATGTGTAAGCTTGCATTTTCATTAAAAATGAACCCCATGCTATAGGCAGTGAGGGTTCAAGGTCTCGGGTCAGGATCATGGTTTGTAAGCCAAAAAGATGGCGGCCGAGCTTAGCGACGGGGGCTGGTGCAGAGGTTTGACCGCTCATAGCATGAGCGGTCAGGGTTCAAGGTCGCGCTGGTGCAGAGGTGCGACGGCTCATACTATGAGCGGTCAGGGTTCAAGGTCTCGGGTCAGGATCGTGGTTTCTCGACAGCAGCTGTTCGCCTGGCTGATATCGCCTGACTGTCTAGGGTCGGGTTGACCTAGAGCACGTAGCAATAGTATGTTAAAATCTACAGTTTAAGGTGAATCTTTTATGAGGTTGTATGACGCTGCTTCTAATCGGGTCGATCGTTCGTCGTGCAACTGATGTAGCCTTTCTGCAATCTGACGTCGGCTGATGTCAACGTCCATATCATCCGCTTGTTCGAGTTTGGTTGTCTCATAAGCGATACGATTGTCGAGTTCTTTCAGTTTGGCCATGTTGTCCATGAGCGATCCACGAATGGTTCTCAAGGCCTTGTCTAGCCCTTGCAGTTCCTGAAAGGGAAATTCGAACCCCAGCAAGGGTTCGTCTGCGTACGTGTGCAATATTATTTCGATGTCGTCCGACGTTTCTTTGGCACATTGGGGCACGTCTCTCAGATCATCTCTGGCGGTGATATTGTCGAGTCCTGTCCTTACGTTTTGCAAATCTTGGACGACCCTGGGTGGAAGTTGTTTGGGTCATGCGCCGCCGTAATCTCACAGGTTTAATTCGTCACGAAAGAATTGGACGCCGTGGTTTCTGGAGTCGACAGAGCGTGCGGTTTTCTCGTGCGGGTGTTTATCGGCCGTTCCTGTCGATCAAAGAATAGTCTCGATACGGTGGCTCGACGTAATTTTTATTTCGTTTTAAAGCATCGTAATAATCGTTGATGGTCTATTTTAAGAGTTCGTCGCACAAGAGGTCGCTCGTTAACGAAGTGTCTGCGAAACTTGAGAGAACCCCTGGCAGTCAAAGTCGTGCGTCAATCGGTGACCATCACCAACAATCCAAACACAATCGACGAAAACCAAACGCTGTTGGTGCGCTTTCCCAACCTGGGCGCGAACGACATCATCGTTCCGGGGATGGCTCGCCTGTCCTTCCGGATCCGTTTGGAATCCGATGATGATAAACGAGAGAAGTCGTGGGGAAACTGGGTCTCGCCATCATGAAGAAAATGACCATCAAAATCAGTGGAAGCCAAATTTTGAGCATCGATGACAGCAATGTGTTCTTCAGCTACACGGACCTCTGGAGAACCGCGGGCGAACGGAAAACATGAAGTACCAGGGGATTTGTCCGTCCGAGTGTCCGTCAACTCTGTTGCACGTGGGGTATGGTTTCGACCAAGCCGAACTCGCCATGATGGCGAATAAACACAAGGCCATTGCCGAGGCGTTTGGGAAACAATTTTGCATCCCGCTCGAGTTCAAGTTGCTGGAGGGTCATGCCATTTTACCAAGCCACGCTGGGCGACAGGCTGGAATACAAATACGTTTAACAATTATAGCAACGTTATAGTGACTGAGAGCAGCGAGGGAGGCAGCTATACCATCGACAATATTTCGCTGGAGTTCGACAAGGTGACGAATCCGGAATTGGCTTGACAGATTGACAACCAGTACGATCGCGTGCTGCGTTTAGAAGGGTCAACGAAAAAATATTGGAACCCCGAGATCACGAAAGTTGAGGTGACCGTCGAGGGCGTGCCAAACCAGCTGTTCAGCCAAGGCATGCGCGCTTACCATCAGTGGTACGAGATTAAAAACTTACCGGCGATCAAGCGCCCGCCGGAAATCAACGCGATCGTCAAGGACCCCTGTCGCGCCTACATGAGGCTACACGACCAAATACTCGCAGTTGTTGGACATATAATCCATGGACGACGATCGACTGCACGGCAGCGGGCGTCACATCGAGAACGGCAGCGAGGGGATCACCATCCAAATCACCAAGAAGGCTCAAATCGCAGGTAAAGTGAACCTTTATTTGTATATGATTATGGATGTACAGCTTGATATAGATAATGGAAGATTGGTGCAAGCCATCTATTAATATTGATTTGCCTCGCGATCCTCATTGTGCCATCGTGTGCTGTGAGACGGGATGCAGAAAGACCGTGTTTGTCTTGGATATGCTGAAAGGGTATTATTGGAATGTATTCGATCATATCGTGATTCTTTGCCCTACGATACACGTGATGAACGACACGGAGGTGTACACAATCGACCCGGGAGTATGTTTACAGGACTGGTTGCGAGTCTTTCACGAGAAGTTCGATTGAGAATCGATGCTGTTTATCCTAGACGATTGCAGCGCGAATAAAGAGATCACCAAAAAGAGAGACATGTTATCGTATTTAGCGTTTTCGGGACGTCGCATGAAACACAGCTTTTGGCTCCTCACGCAAAAATTCAACTCGGTCCTGAAAGACCTCTGGGAACAGACACAATGGGTCGCCCAGTTTCACTGCAAGGATAGGGATTCGTTACAGGAATGTTTGAGAAAAAACGACGTGATTCCCACCAAACCCGAGCGAAAACGAGTGGGAGCCTTGTTGGCCGAAACGAAACACGCCCAAATTATGCTGAAAACAGACCAACCCGTGGCTTATGCTGTGTGCTAGCTTAGCAAAACCAAGCAACCTGCTTAGCAAAATTAAATGTATACCTCCTATAGATTAAAAACCATGACGATGCCTTGAAATTCTCAAGTTGTTTTACCTGACATTCATCTCGTTCTGTTTGGGTTATGCTGGATTTTATTATATTAGATTTAAAAACAGATTGATGTATTACAAGATGGAGTTGGACCACATGCTTGTACAAATGATATCCGAGGAGGAGAAGGAGAGTGAAAATGGTCATGTCAGGGATAAACAAGAATGACTCGTGGCCCTCGTCGTGGGTGGGAAGGGGAAACAATACTTGGGCAAAAAATTTCCACTGATAAAATTTATAAAATGCCTGAGGGAGACATCAATAAACTGTACGTGAGATACGAAAGCCCGATTCGGTGCCGAAATGCTTCCCATTCCACTGTCACGTCGACCTTATTTGTGCGAGGATCTCGACGCGGATCCGTTTATCGGTCACGGCTTAAACACCCTCAGTTGCAAGTTGTATCACTGATACAGTGTGTTCTTA